CGTTTATGTATATTGTGAACAGCAGGGGCCCCAACACTGACCCCTGTGGAACACCGCTCGTGACGCTTCCCCACTCTGATTTCTCCCCATTTATGCAAACTCTCTGCTGCCTATTTGTCAACCATGCCTCTATCCAGGAAAAATTTCTCCTATTCCATGTGCCTTAATTTTCCTCAATAGTCTCTGATGTGGGACCCTGTCAAAAGCCTTACTGAAGTCCATATACACAATATCATATTCATTACCATGATCTACCTCCTCAAATACCTTAGTGAGAAAAGTTAAAAAATTCGTAAGGCAGGAACGCCCCTTTGTAAAACCATGCTGAGATTCGTTGATTAATTTATGCTTTTCAAGGTGGCTACGAACTGCCTCGGCAATTATTGACTCCATAAATTTTTCCCACTATGGAGGTTAGGCTTATTGGTCTATAGTTCGAAGCTAAGGACCTGTCACCTGCTTTGAAAATAGGTATCACATTTGCCATTTTCCACTTATCTGGCACCATGCCAGTTTGTAGTGATATGTTGAAAAGATTAGCCAAAGGTTTGCTAAGCTCCTCTTTACATTCCTTTAGAACCCTTGCATACAGTTCATCAGGGCCTGGGGATTTGTTAGGTTTTAATTTATCTATTTGCCTAATGACCATGTCACTTGTGACCCTAATCGTGCACAGTTTATTATCGTCCTGTTCTACATAATTTATCATTACTGGAATATCGCTGGTATTCTCCTGTGTAAAAACTGAGAGGAAGTTTGTGTTAAAACTTCTACACATTTCCTTATCACTGTCAGTGAGCTGACCCGAGGAACTTTTGAGTGGGCCTATTTTGTCCCTGATCTTACTTCTGCATACCTGAAAGAATCCTTTTGTGTTAGTCTTCGAATCTCTTGCAACTTTAACCTCATAATCTCTTTTTGCTTTTCTAATTCCTTTTTTTTTATTTCTCTCTAACTGAATATATCGATTTCTTAATTGCCCCTCCCCTCTTTTGATTTGCGTATATATGCCTCTCTTTTGACCAATTAGATATTTTAATCTATTGTTCATCCATTTAGGATCATTTTTGTTTGATCTGATTTCCCTATTTGGAACATAATTTGACTGAGCAGCTAGAACTATGCCCTGGAAAGCATCATATCGGCAACCATCACCACCTACCTGACCCTTAATCAGGTCATTCCAGTTCAGCCCACCTAAGTAATTTTTCAGTCCTATGAAATCAGCCAAGCGGAAGTCAGGACAGAGACTTGATTGCCATTCTTAGGGGAATTCCATGATATATTAAAACTGAGTGATTTGTGATCACTTTCCCCAAGCTCATCATTAACCTCAAGATTATTAATTAGTGTTTCCCTACTGGCAAGAACCAAGTCAAGGAGGTTATTTCCCCTAGTTGGCTCTGTCACAAACTGTTTTAAAAAAACAATCCTGGATCGTATCAAGAAAGTCACCTGACTCTAAATTTCCTGTCAAATTGCTCCAGTCAATCTGTCTATAGTTGAAATCTCCCATTAGCACAACATTTTCGTATGTAGATGCCTTACGAATTTCGTCGCATAGAAGTTTACTGCACTCCCTATCAAGATTTGGGGCCCTGTAAATCACACCCAAAATTAGTTTTTCTCGGCCCTCGAGAAGCTGTAACCAAACAGATTCAGTGGCTGACGCTTCTAATTTAATATCTTGTCTAACACAACAATTTAAATTGTCTCTGACGTACATCGCTACTCCACCACCCTTCCTGTTGACCTGTCAGTGTGGAATAATTTATAGCCTTGTAGTGACATTCAGAGGGCATCTCTCTATCTTTCAGATTGAGCCAGGTCTCTGTTATAGCAATAATATCTATGTTTCCTGCACTTGCAATTAATCTTAGCTCATCTATCTTATTTCTTACACTCCTGCTATTAGTATAGTAAACCTTAAGGGAGCTAGTCCCTTGCTGCCCTCTGCTGTCCCCCTTTGTTTGCTGACCTGATCTATTGTTTTTATTTATAACTTCATGCTGAATGCCTTTTATACATTTACTGTTTCCAACCCTAGTGTTGCAACCTGCTTGTTTCCCACACACACCCATACCTCTATTTTCCATCAGTTTAAAATCATAGGCATTTCACCAATGGCCTTCTCAATCGAGTCTGCAAGTGCTACCACCCCAGCCCCAGAGAGATGTACCCCATCCCTTGCATACATATCATGTTTGCCATAAAAGTTGTTCCAGTTGTCAATGAATGGGATTGCAAGTTCCTTGCAGTATCTGTCTAGCGAGCAATTTACACCAGTTGCCCTAGACAACCATTCATTTCCTACTCCCCTTCTAGGCAAGATGCTACATATGATTGGGATCCCTCCCTTAAACTTATTGAAATCTATAGCTGACCTGTACTTATCTAGCAGCTCTTCTCTCCTACCCTTCCCAATATCATTTCCACCAGCACTGAGACAGATAATGGGCTTGTTCCCATTACCTGACATGATATTATCCAGCCTGTTGACAATGTCCCCAACACCAGCTCCAGGGAAGCACACTCTAAACTCTCATCTTCTTATTCCTATTACAAAAAGCACGGTCAATATATCTTACCTGAGAGTCACCAACCACAAGAATGTGCTTATCTCCATTAGCAGGGGCAGTAGTACCCTTACCTTCACTGGCCACTGAAGTACATTCATCCTGAAGAACAGAGAAGCGATTTCCTACCTTCAGATCTTCACTCTTAACTTTCCTTACTCTGATGCGCCTCCCATTACTGTGAACCACTCGCCACTTGTAGCAGGTGCTGGACTGCACCTCACTGCTGGTAGCCGTTGCTACCTCCCCAACTACAGCCTCCTCACAGCGAGAGACAGACTGCACCTCACTGCTAGAAGCCTCATTCCCCACAACTCCAGCCACCTCACACTCTCTCCCAGACCCATTGAGGTGGACCCTCAGCCTCCTAATCTCCTCCTGGAGAAGCAAGACCTCCTCCTTCAACACTCCAACCTCAATTTTTAAAACACTGCAGAAGCAAGCCAGGCTTTGTATCCGTCCACGCTAATCCCCAAAGCAGCTCAGGGTCTGTGACCTCACGTGACGACTGACCACTGATGAGTGATACAATGAGCAAGGTAGGTTTCAATCTTACTTATCAAATAGAGGAACTGCATTTTTTTGGTGATAAGGAGATTGAAACCGTCCTATAGATGGCAGTGAGATGTGGGCTTTTGAGCCCCAAAAAATAAATCATCATTTCAGCAGTAACATGAAATGTTGATATAGCCTCCCTTTGGGGCAATTATATTCTCATAATTATTTAATTTCCCAGAGCCCTAAAGATTGGAATTTGATAGCTCCTCAACCTTCGTGGGTGGCTGCGAAGACGTTGAGCCATCACTAAGCTAAGTACCCTACAGTCCTCTAACATACTTATCTCAACAGGCTCCAATTCCTTACACATGGTCTACTAGGAGGAAGAGAGGCTAAAGCCAAGTGTACTAGAGCATGGAAAAATTATAGAAGCAAATGATGCAGGAAAACAGGGAGTTGAGCCGAAGAGCCAGAAATGATTATGCACTGATAGAGAGAAGCCCGGCATCATTATGTGAATGACATAGCATCAAAAGGAAAATCTGACCCAGAGCTGTTATACAGCCACATTAGGAGGAAAACAGTCAGGAACTATGTGAGCAACTCAGCTTACGATTCAGGGAGGTATTCACAGTAAGACAGAGAGGCTTCCAGCAAACTGAGATGGTAGGGTGCACCAGCAAGTGCTGGATACGCTGCACACAACCGAGGAAGAGATGAAGAAACTTCTAGAGGAACTAGATACTGTGAAGGTGGTGGGCACAGATAATATATTTCCTTGGGTCCTGAGAGAGAGCAGGTACACTATGTGTGCCACTATTGGAGTTCTATGACAAGGTATCAGAAATAAGACAGTAGAGAGAGGATGGGTAGACAGTAACTTCTTGGACTATAAGAAGGCTTTCGACAGAGTACCACACTTGAGACTGGTTGAAAATTTGGAGGAGCAGGCAGGGATAGGAGGGAAAGTACTGCAATGGATCAGGAAATACCTGACAGGAAGGAAACGTGTGTTGGTACGAGACGGTGTCAGAGTGGGTGCATGTTTCGATTGGGGTTCCACAAGGGTGAGCCCTGGGTCCGTTGCTGTTTCTTGTATATGTGAATGACATGACGGAAGGGATAGAGTCAGAGGTGACCTTGCTTGCAGACGATGTGAAGCTAATGAGAATGCAAGCGGACGAGGATCAGGTAACCCTACAAGAGGATCTGAGCAGGCTGCAAGCCTGGTCCGACAAATGGCTCCTGGAGTTTAACCCCAGCAAGTGCAAAGTTATAAAGCCTGAGGAACGACAAAGACAGTAGACGGAATACAACCTAAGAAGTTAAAGGGTTCAAAGCACGCTGAAGGAAAAGGTTCTTGGCGTGAGCATCATACCGAGCACATCTGAGGTGCACATCAACCAAATAACTGCTGTAGCTTACAGGCGAACCAGAGAATAGCGTTTCAACATATAAGTTTCATTCACGACACTGTGCACCGTATACGTCAGACCCATACTGAAGTGTGCAGCACCAGTATGGAACCCACACTGGTGAAACACATTAAGAAATTAGAGAACGTGTAAAGGTTTGCAACAAGACTAGTCCCGGAGCTGAGGAAATAGTCTCGTTGCTACGAGGAGAGGATGAGGAAACTCATCCTGACAACACTGGAGGACATGAAGGATAGGGGAAGACATAATAACAACATAAAATACAGAGAAGAAATGACAAGGTGGATTGGGACAGAATATTTTAGAAGCACAACAACAAGGGGTCACGCTGGAAGGTAAAAACTGAAAGGAGCCACAGGAATGTTTGGAAGTACTTCTTCATCCATAGATTTGTCAGGGAGAGAGTGAACCATTAGCTATGAATCGACCCCTGCAACCATAATTAGGTGAGCAAACACACAGACACACACATACGATAGGTAATACTTACTGTGTATTTTAAGATGGAATGTTCGCTCCATTGGAGGAGAGAGAGGGTTGTTCTTCGACCTACATGTGAGAGGCACTTGAACTATCTCTGGTGTGAGAGGTCCCACAGTGACCTCGTTCACGGTGTGGGGAGGAGCACCGCTGCTGCTGCTGCTGCTGCTGACCACGTAACTGGTATTGTCCAGGAGCTTCTCAGCCTGCCACCACGTCACACTTGGTGCTGGGGAACCTGAAGGAAGAAAAATCACGTTCAGATATAAAGGATAAAGACTTCTTTACAGTACTATTCCCAGAGGGATAATCTTAGTATCCCCGGAAGGATAATTGTCGAGGATAAGTTGATAAAATTTGCAGTGTGGCGTATCTTAGGTAGGGTCCTCAGGTTTTAACCAAGAATGCGTTCCGCACCTGTCGACTAATGTTCAAGTACTTATTGTACTACAAGATGATTAGGGGCACTAAGATGCTTATTTTTGCTAGAAGAACAACGTCGGCAGGACTGCATCATAGGAGGTGAGCCACCATAGTCGTCTAGCAACAAGGCACCTACTTACTACCATGGTAACAGATGTGACAGATGTAAGGTGACTTATCCAAATATCTCACCTTTAAATCATATTCGAGGTCTTTGATTAAGTGCCATTTTGCTCAGAGTAATTGTTGAAATATTGCCTTCCTTTCGTTTAATACGTAGCAGCAGCAGGCAACAACTTAACAGGTTGGCAAGGCAACAACGTAAACAGCCTCTCAGAGACAACACAGAGACAATGCAATGATTTTAGCGGCGGGTAAGTTGTTTATTATTATTGGTTGTCGTGCTGACGTTACAAGCAGGTGTACAGGCCGCAAGACTACACTTGTGTTCGTAATAGATAGGGTTGATTATGATGAATTTGACAAGGTTTAGTCTGCTGAAGTTCAGATAAGTTAGGTTAGGTTGCATTATGTGGGCTGGGGTAGGTTATTTTGGGTTAAATCTGGTTAGGTTAAGTTAGATTGGGTTAGATTCGAATTGATAGTAATATGCCAATGAAAAAGGTGGCTGAGGACACACAGAAATCGTTAACGTCTGCAGACGAGTCACTCTGAATCCTTTTTAATGCGTCTTCTTCCTTCACTGACATCACACTTTGTCTAATCAAATAAGTCTCTAAGTGTATTTCTCGGATCTTGCAATATTTGCTTTGTTTTCCACAAGCAGCTAACGTGCGTTCAAAAAACATATTGTTTGCTTGAATAAGCTGCTTATTGTGGAGTATGACTGGCGGCAACACTTGCCAGTTAAACTCAGTTATTGTTACTGCTTAAAACTTTCAAAACAATTGCGTTTATGCTATCTTGGAATTCTACTTGTTCATCAGTTTAGGCAGCCAGTGTTTTCCAGACATGACGTGCGTATGGTTTATACATGTGAAATAACCTCTTAATGCATGTGAAGTTCACGAAGTGGTAGGAGGTATTAGGCGTCCCTGAAGGGATAAATTAAATTGATAACAGAATACTTTTTTCTCCAAATGTTATCGTTTATAACATGATAACATCTGCTTGAACAGGCTTCAATTTTTCGGGACTGATTGACTACGACTATTAGCGTGTTTGGTGCTCACTTCGCACTTTTACACAGACTATTCCTGATTTTGGAAATCCTTGTGATATCCTGAGAAATCCTCTTCTGATCGGTTTCAAACTTTCAATTCAGATTTATTCTATTCAAATGAAGGTTAATGTTTTATTGAAGTGACTAGGTGCCAATTTGCCAATGTCCTATTTCAAAATATTTCCTATTTCAAAATATTTCCTATTTCAAAATATTTCCTATTTCAAAATATTTCCTATTTCAAAATATTTCCTATTTCAAAATATTTCCTATTTCAAAATATTTCCTATTTCAAAATATTTCCTATTTCAAAATATTTCCTATTTCAAAATATTTCCTATTTCAAAATATTTCCTATTTCAAAATTTTCTATTTAAAAATATTTCCTATTTTCAAAATATTTCCTATTTCAAAATATTTCCTATTTCAAAATATTTCCTATTTCAAAATATTTCCTATTTCAAAATATTTCTGTTAAATAATATTAGCATCTCTTTTAAAATAAAGTGAGAGTCTATAGTCTAGGACGTGTTGATGTGAATTTGCAAATAGATTGGTACAAAAATAACCCTCACAGAGTAGAGAGAAGCCATGACGATGTTTCGGTCCGACTTGGACCATTTACAAGTTGATAAATTAGACACATGTGCAACTCTTGGGTATCTTTATTGAGGAAACGTTTCGCCACACAGTGGCTTCATCAGTCCATACAAAGGAGAATCTTGAAGAACAAGAGGAGAATGAGGTAATCAGTCCCTCAACCTTGAGTCGATGTGGTCAGTCCATCAATCTTGAATAGAATACGGCATACGTGCTGAGAAGGAGCTTATAAACCGTTGGTAGGAGAGGTGCAGCAGTCATAGGTCGTGTAACATTTGTTCAATGTTGAAGTAGGTCGTGCCCAAGAATTAGGCAAGGTTGAGGGACTGATTACCTCATTCTCCTCCTGTTCTTCAAGATTCTCCTTTGTATGGACTGATGAAGCCACTGTGTGGCGAAACGTTTCCTCAATAAAGATACCCAAGAGTTGCACATGTGTCTAATTTATCAACATGTCGGTTCTCTGAACCATTCATCTACATTTACAAGTTGGTCCAAGTCGGACCGAAACGTCATCATAAGCTGCTGCCTCCTATGTGCCGGTTATTTGTGTATTGTTCCAGTCACGGTGTTGTGCCTTGTTCCATTTTTAAGTAGATTTTCATAACAATAAATTTGGATTTTTTTCTGAGTCTAAGGACCAGAAATAGAATTCTATACAATGTCATCTCTGATAAGTTTTAAACTTTAAGCCATACAGTGGACTCCCGGTTAACGAACTTTTTTCATTCCAGTAGTATGTTCAGGTGCCAGTACTGACCGAATTTTTTCCCATAAGGAATATTGTGAAGTAGATTAGTCCATTTTAGACCCCCAAACATACACGTACAAACGCACTTACATAAATACACTTACATAAATGGTCGCATTTGGAGGTGATCGTTAAGCGGGGGTCCACTGTATTTGGCTTTCCTCGGTTGAAAATTTACATTACTTAGGCTGTGGAAGTTTTCCTTTGTCAGTTTTATTAAAAAACAGTCGAAACAGTATATGGAGAATGCACATTTCGCTCGGCTTCAAACCCTAAACGATGGTGTCATAACTAGATAAATGTTTCGTGCCATTTTTCCGGTTTGATTCAACACACTGGGGAAATATAAAAGTCGGGTTTCCTTCCATGACCTGCGAATGCCTCATCCGATCAGCTTCAAACCATGAAACTGATGTATGTTACTTAGAGAAAGCTTTGAATATTTGTTGTACTTTATCATTGCTATTTTGCAAAAATTATCATAAACTCCTTATATGTCCTTAATAATGTTGATAAATTAGACACATGTGCAACTCTTGGGTATCTTTATTGAGGAAACGTTTCGCCACACAGTGGCTTCATCAGTCCATACAAAGGAGAATCTTGAAGAACAGGAGGAGAATGAGGTAATCAGTCCCTCAACCTTGAGTCGATGTGGTCAGTCCATCCACATCGACTCAAGGTTGAGGGAACTGATTACCTCATTTCCCTCCTGTTCTTCAAGATTCTCCTTTGTAAAGGACTGATGAAGCCACTGTGTGCGAAACGTTTCCTCAATAAAGATACCCAAGAGTTGCACATGTGTCTAATTTATCAACATGTCGGTTCTCTGAACCATTCATCTACAAGTCCTTAATAATAATAATAATAATAATAATAATAATAATAATAATAATAAAATAATAATAATAATAATTTCTACAAGCATATGATAAAACTTATACAGACCATAGCTGACATCAGTGACATCCTATATAGATAGCTGACATCAGTGACATCCTATATAGATAGCTGACATCAGTGACATCCTATATAGAAAAGCTGACATCAGTGACATCTATATAGATAGCTGACATCAGTGACATCTATATAGATAGCTGACATTCAGTTGACATCCTATATAGATAGCTGACATCAGTGACATCCTATATAGATAGCTGACATCAGTGACATCCTATATAGATAGCTGACATCAGTGACATCCTATATAGATAGCTGACATCAGTGACATCCTATATAGATAGCTGACATCAGTGACATCCAAAATAGATAGTGACATCAGTGACATCCTATATAGATAGCTGACATCAGTGACATCTATTTTAGATAGCTGACATCAGTGACATCCTATATAGATAGCTGACATCAGTGACATCCTATATAGATAGCTGACATCAGTGACATCCTATATAGATAGCTGACATCAGTGACATCCTATATAGATAGCTGACATCAGTGACATCCTATATAGATAGCTGACATCAGTGACATCCTATATAGATAGCTGACATCAGTGACATCCTATATAGATAGCTGACATCAGTGACATCCTATATAGATAGCTACATCAGTGACTCCTATATAGATAGCTGACATCAGTGACATCCTATATAGATAGCTGACATCAGTGACATCCTATATAGATAGCTGACATCAGTGACATCCTATATAGATAGCTGACATCAGTGACATCCTATATAGATAGCTGACATCAGTGACATCCTATATAGATAGCTGACATCAGTGACATCCTATTATGATAGCTGACATCAGTGGGCATCCTATATAGATAGCTGACATCAGTGCATCCTATATAGATAGCTGACATCAGTGACATCCTATATAGATAGTGACATCAGTGACATTTCCATTTGATAGCTGACATCAGTGACATCCTATATAGATAGCTGACATCAGTGACATCCTATATAGATAGATGACTTCAATGACATCCTATATAGATAGCTGACATCAGTGACATCCTATATAGATAGCTGACATCAGTGACATCCTATATAGATAGCTGACATCAGTGACATCCTATATAGATAGCTGACTTCAGTGACATCCTATATAGATAGCTGACATCAGTGACATCCTATATAGATAGCTGACATCAGTGACATCCTATATAGATAGCTGACATCAGTGACATCCTATATAGATAGCTGACATCAGTGACATCCTATTTTAGATAGCTGACTCAGTGACTCCTATATAGATAGCTGACATCCGTGACATCCTATATAGATAGCTGATCAGTGACATCCTATATAGTTTG